CTACCCTTCTATCATAGACTTCTACCATGTATCTTTAATTGTCATGTTTATTAGTGCTTTGATCCATTTAAAACCTTCTGTTGTACCAGTAGTGTAATGTGATACCAATTTAAGCCTCAAAACAAACAAATAAACAAAAAAATGCACTCTTAAGCCAGTTGATTTTTTTTTTTTAAACTCTTGAGGGCATTCTGCACCAAAAAATAAAAAATACCGAGCACAATATTTTAAAATTCTGCAAATTTTATTTGTCAGATAAATGTGGAAGCTCCAGCATGGCATTGGGGAGCACAGGCCACTGGCTGCGCAGAGGTGGGAGATCACTGTGCAGCTTTCCCCCAGGACACAGACTCAGCAGTGAAGCTGCACCCAGCCCTGACACAGTGCAAGGACCGGGCCTCCCCAGAAACACCCCAGGGCCCTGCCCCTCCGTGCCAGGTGCAGCAGGTCTGGGCAGGCAGGCTCAGCAAGACAGGATCCAAGTGTGGAGGGGCTTAGTGTGGGGGGGATCCTGGTGTGGGTTGAGAGGGTTCTGTGTGGGGCAATCTGGGTGTGAGCAGCTCAGTGTGGGATCCAGGTGAGGGGGGATCTGGCTGCACAGGTGCTTGTTGGGGGGTTCTGGGTGCAACAGTAATGGGACTCTGCAGGGGGGTCCAGGTAAAGGTGATTGGGGCTCAGCAGGGGGGTCTGAGTGTGTGGGGCGGAAGGTCTCTGCAAGGGGGTCTGGATGTGTGTGGGTCAGTGAGGGTCCAGATGCAGGGGGAACCAGGTGCAGCTAGTTGGGGCTTGGTGGGGTGGGGATCCGGGTGCTGGTGGCTTGTCAGGATGGTCCAGTTCCTGGGGAGTGGAGCTCATCAGAGAGGTTCTGAATGTGTGGGGGATGAGGCTCGGTGAGGTATGAGGGGATATGGATGCATGGGGGAGAAGCTCCCTGTACAGGGATCCCTCCCGCTGCAGCTGAGGAATGATGGGCACAGGAAGCGAGTGTGTGTGTGTGTGTGTGTGTGTGTGTGTGTAGTTCCACAGCTTCCTGCAGATTGGGGAGAAATCTAGGGTGGATCTGATCTGGCCCCAGATGCCGTGAAGGGGAAGAGGAAGTCTCATCCTCCCCAGCCGAACCGGGACTAGCTGGTGCAGGGAAGGAGCCACCAGCCAGGTCTTCCCCAGTCCCACGCCCTGCCCCACGGTGATTTACATCTTTGCCGGCTGGCCTGGGCTCACTAAACATACTGCTGGAAAGCGCTGCATGGCTGTTCTTGTGGCTTCCCTTTGCTTCCCCCTCAGAAAGTCATTTTTCTGTGGGGAAACAAAGAAATCTGCGGGGGACATACATTCTGCACATGCGCAGAGGCTGAGAATTCCCCCAGGAGTTCTTTTTTTTGCACTAAAATGTGTTACCTAGAGAATTTTATTTCTAGCAGCTACCTCTTCAGATTACAATTTATCAAGTTCCAATACCTCTATATCAGGGGTGGGCAAACTCTGGCCTGCAAGCCATTTCAAGCCGGACCGCGAGCCGCACCACGTGGATCAGTCCCACTCTGGCGCTCTGGCCGGGGCGCTGGGTCGGGGCCGCACCATGCAGCTCCCAGAAGCCATGGCATGGCCCCGCTCCAGCTCCTGCACGCTACAATGGGAGTTGCAGGGGCGGTGCCTGCAGATGGGGCAGCGTGCAGAGCCTCCTGGCCGCGCCTCCACATAGGAGCCACAGAAGGGACATGCCACTGCTTCTGGGAGCTGCTTGAGGAAAGCGCCGCTTGGAGCCTGCACTCCCTGAGCCTTTCCCCATGCCCCGCACCCGCACCCCAACCCCAATTTTGTGAGCATTCATGGCCCGCCATACAATTTCTGTTCCCCGATGTGACCCTTGGGCCAAAAAGTTTGCCCACCCCTGCTCTATATAGAAAGTTTTAAAAACCTACGGTAGTCTTAAAAATGTAGCGAAAGTTCTTTCTTCAGTTCCACTCTGGTTTCTTGTCCTGCCAATGTTAGTTTACAAACTTCAGTGCCTCTTCTGATGATAACTTAAGAAATTAACTGAATAACCCCCCCCCCCCTCAAAACACAATAGATTCTATGTTTGGTTAATACAACTGATTATTACATCCATCCAAGGTATTGTTTTAGTTGAAAGTAAATTATATCTGCTGTATCTAAGAACCAGGTTGTAAGAACAGTTACCTTATAATTTGCACTTTATTTGGGATTAATATGAAGGTTATTTAAATCATTTTTACAATAGATATGTAAATCAATGAGGCATGGCTTCTGTTAAATGATTTGAAGTTCAACTCGCTTAATATTTTTATGAAACACTACTGTCTAAACAGTGGTAAACCAGAACTAAGGTGACCTATTTGAATTACAAGAATTGTTTAAAAATTCAAGAGGCATATTTTGTTTACCTCTTCATCTTCACATCCCAACACATCTTACTATTACCATATATATATATATATATATATATAATATAAGTATACTTTATATAAGGCTTTTGTTAAAATGCTACTCCCAATATGAGGCTGCAACATTCTTGTTTAAAAGTTAATTCCCTCTGTATAATGCACCCCCTACAATCTTTAAAGTACTTAAATCCCAAGGATAGCTTTATAGAGAGTGACTATTGAGACTATGATATATGGTTTAGGGTTTGGTATTGCCATCTGATGGTTGTACCGTGGGATCACTATGTGTCAAAGGAGAGTTGGTGGTCTCAAGTCAGTTCATAGTACAAAATGTGTATATAGGGGGCAGCTGAGGTGGCTCTCGTAGCAGAAAGATCAGGAATTTAATGGGTATGGGTACTTAATGACCTGGATGTCAAGAAGTGGCCATCTCAAGTTAAGGTTAGGTCTCTTTGGTGGATCTGTGTGAGGAATTTGCACTGCCGAGGCCTGTGCTGTGGGTAGGTGGAGAGCAAAGTTCTCACTCTAGTACTTTTTGCAAGTGCTACAATTCACTTTTGCATCTTAAAAAAAAAAGAGTAAAGTGTCCAGGAAGAAAGAGATGGATGGACTGGAATGAGTTATATTTTGGTGAAGGAACTTAAATGTTTTCTAAGGCAGAAACACCCTTCAATTTCAACAATCTCCAGTGGTATAAATCTTTGTGAGATAACTTTTTCTTTTCCTTATATACATCCTTTGAAATGTATTTTCGGTGTTTCTGATGTGACCATCACCGTAGTATTTGTGTACCAATGTGTAGTGGATATCCTGGCTTATAACTATATATAAAGACAAATGTATGCTATTGTACTGTAACATAACAGTATTTTTCTGAAGGCTATTCTGAAAGCCTGTTCTCTTGGGTTCTCATACACTTCTGGCATATGTACTTTTGAAAAGGCTGCAAAATCCTTTTCCCCCTCCCCCGGACCTGTTATTTAAGTCTCTGCTTCTTAGCTTTGTTTGTGAGAATACACGATGTACTTCGTAATGCAATTCATATCCTTGAACTAGCAAACAATATTTTATGGGGAGTACAGTTAGATCTACTTATGTAAAATACCACTAGTATAAGTCACTTTTTTAGTTCTGGCATTATAGAACAGCCCTGGCAGGAGGACTGTCTACATGGACTCTTCAGACATTCAACAGTCTGTAGTGTGTGATGGCATTTTTTCCCAGAACATCTCAAACTCTTAGTGACTGGTGGTTGTGTAAACAGTGTCTGGGACACTGCTTTGGAACACCACTCAATTTTACAGAAAGGCCAAGCAAGAGTATGTGTGTTTCTGCTGTCTTTCACTTTGACTGGTTAACTTTTGAGAAACCAGAGATGTAATTTCACAAGCACATTTAAATGGTTTGTTTACCAACAGAGAGTAAATAAACTTGTTTTTGTACTTTGTCGGTGATGTGGATAGGGGTAGAAATATGGTCAGACATAAAGCGGATTTAAACGTAATTATATTTGCATTAACACTTATTACATTTATTAACTAATTCACTTACAATATCACTATGGTTAAATAGGTGCCCTCCCTGACAATTTGTAGGTGTGGTTAGTTGAGATACAGGGGATTATTCCAATTTTTTTTGAGAGGCGCAGCTAGATTTACAACTTTTAGTGGACTAGGGACTGAAGTAATTTGTCTTTGGAACAGACCTGAGAGCGGTGCCTCTGTGGAGATAGATAACTGTTCATTAGTAAGGCTGCTAATCTAGCTGAAATCTATTATTTTTCCCCAAAAGAAAGGGGAGAAATTGTTCAGGGATGTTCTGGCAACATGGGGTAGAATAATTTTTTTTTTTGTTTACTTGATCCATTTTGACTCCTAATTTAATTAGATCTCAGTAATTCTCTGTCTTGAGAATAGAATGATAAGCTACTTTATAAACTACAACTAATATCTGTAACACCTAGGTTTGGGGTTGCAGTGTTGATAAAGAGATTTCAAAAATAAAGATAATGGCTTGCTGATAAATGTTTTGTAAAGACAGGAAAAGCTTGGGCTTTTTCAGTCTCAATATCCATGATCAGAATGGGCAGTTTTTATGCCACTCCAAGTTATTTTTTTAATTCTTTTTAATTTATTTGTTCCATTTTCTCACTTTCTGACCTTTTTTTGTCTGTTTTTTTTAAATACTCTAAGAAAACTAATCTCCTCGCATTGAAAAACTATCTTAAAAGAAAAAAAAAGGAAAAATTAGAACTGCCTTCCCTTTCTGTCTGTCTTATTACCTGGCTTTTTCTGCTTGTTCTCCCCCCTACCCTCCACCCCTGCATGCCCACATTTTCCCTTTATCCTGCTTGGCCTTCTCAGAGCAAGACTACACTACCATGCTACATTGGCACAGCTGCACCGATGCAGCTGTGCTGCTGCAGCGCGTCTGGTGAAGATGCGCTACGCAGATGGGAAAGCGCTCTCCCATCGGCATCATTACTCCACCTATGCAAGAGGCGGAAGCTATGTCGGCAGGTGAGGAGTGTCTTGATGTAACTTACGTTGCTCAGGGGGGTGTTGTTTTCATGCCCCATAGCAACATAAGTTACATCAACTTGATGGAAGCAACATGTCTGGTCGGGGCAAAGACGGCAAAGGACTTGGAAAGGGGGGTGCTAAGCGCCATCAGAAGGTACTTTGCAATAACATTCAAGGTATTACCAAACCGGCTATTCGTCGTTTGGCTCGTCGTGGTGGTGTCAAGTGTATTGGTGGGTTGATCTATGAAGAGACCTGTGGCGTGTTCAAAGTTTTTCTCGAAAACATGATCCGCGATGCTGTTACTTACACTGAACATGCGAAGCGGAAGACTGTGACAGCCATGGATGTGGTTTACGCTCTAAAACGCCAGAGTCATACTCTGTACGGATTCGGGGGCTAAGCCTTTCTTCTAACTTGCCTTTAAAACCAAACTTAAATGGTAGTGTAGATCAGCCCTCAATGTTACTTCTCTCTGCCACCGTGACTGAATGAGCTGATCAGACCTCTTTATGCACACTGTTCATAGGGTCTTCATGCTGGCCTGTAAAATAAGCATTTCTTACAGATAAGACACTGTAATAAAAAATAAAAGAAGTTTGTGGAGCAGCCTGGTGGCTCTGTGGTTAGTGACTATTTGTTTCCTTATGCTTCCCTTGTCTGTCTGTGTCTTCCTGTTGACTCTTTGTTATACTTAGATTGTAAGCTCTTTGGGGCAGGGAATATTTTTTGTGTTTGTACAGTGCCTAGCACAATGGGACACTGGTCCATGACACGGGTTTCTAGGAGCTGATAGGCTGCCAATGGAGATCCATCCAGCTGTGTGCAATGAAAAGTGGTAATCTCAAAAGAGGAAGGTGACCCATTGATATCACTGTTCATGAAGCCCTACACTGTAGACTAAAACTCTGTCATAGCTACTCCTACTTTCCAAGGAGGACAGATGGGAGTCCTGTCGGAGACCATCAATATTGCTCCTTAACTGAGCAATATGTTCATTATTAGGTAAAAGAGAGGACTCCTTGTCTCTAGGTGTTGTGTGTATTACTTTTGCCTACACTGGGAATCGTAGACTGGGACCAGAAATAAAATTCAAGCCTCCCAAATGGCAATGGGAAACATCTGTCTACAGGGAACTGACCAGTCTTCATTTCTATTTGTATTTTTTTTCTCTTAGTTTTTGCATGCCAGGTCAAATGGTTTGGCTTCTTCTGATACTTTTTGGCTCTTTCTGATGCTTGAATTGGCTTTTCCTTTGGCTTTGTTGCCTGCCTGCCTGACTGACAAGCAATTTCCTAAAGGATGGACATGTTTTTGTCTTTATCCTCATTATACAAAGGCCCTACAAATAATTTAAATCTTAATAGAAACGTCCTCCATGAAGGTGATGTCTATCTTCCTTTGCACTACAAAAGGCCAAAATTAAAGTTAATGCAAAAAGTTTGTTCATCCAGCCCCGGACAATGAAATAAATTATTTGACGTGGACACAAAGATACCGATGTAATTTTGGAAAGTAAATTAACTAGGCTAGAAATGTTATTTTAGCATAAAACAGTGAAAGGAAGACGAGATCCTTTAAAAAAAAAAAAAAAAAAAGTGCCCTTGAAGTGAAAATCAATACAAACAGGATAAAAAGAAAAATTCTCGTCCACTTCTTACAGCATGCCCATCACCATGGTCTAACTTCCATTAGCCAAACAAGGATATGATTGGAACAAAAGTTGTGTTCTCCACACCTCTTGTAATGTAAGCTTGAACAGGAGTGGGGAATCTAGGATTAATCTTGACCAACACATGTGAAAACTACAAACTGCCTTGTCTTCATTAGAGAGACAGGGTGATATCCTTTATTGGACCAATTTCTGTTGGTGAGAGACAAGCTTTTGAGCTTAAACAAAGCTCTTCTTCAGGTCTGGGAAACATTCTTGGGCTATGTCTACACTACATATTACTTCGGTATAACTTGTTTCATTCAGGGGTGTGAATAATCTACACCCCTGAGCGACGTACGTTATAGCGACCTAAGCACGGTTGTAGACAGTGCCATGTTGTTGAGAGAGCTCCTGCCGACATAGCTACTGTCTCTCACGGAAGCAGGAGTTATTAAGCCAACAGCAGAGGTCTCTCCCGTTGGCTTAGGGCGTCTTCACCAGAAGTGCTACAGCTGCGCAGCTGTAAATGATGTAGTGCAGACATAGTTTCAGAGTGTCACAGCTAAATCCAAGGTGGAACAGATTGTTTAGCATGTGTAGTTAACACACATTTCACAGGACCATTCAAGGTGAAGTGGCTTTTACCTTGTGTTAGTTACCATGTATTCACTAACGTGGTAGGCTAGTGAAGAGACAAAGCCTAACTCTGAAAATTTTGGTTTAACTGACTTGTTCAGTGTCATATAAGAAATCTGTTGCAGAGCCAGGAATAGAACAGAGCTTTTCTGGGTAGCACTCACCTGCCTTCACCAAAAGAGCAGCCTTTCTCTTCCTGTAATTCCCTGCCTCATTCTCTACGCACCTTTCAACTTCTAGATCAGATGAAATCGTACAGATGTGTGCATGATCTCCTGGTAACCCTAGATCCCCTTTATCCTCTATCTTAAAAAATTATAAGTAATTAAAAATAATTGGACCAATAAATAGTCTCAAGCAGTAATACATGGAACTCTTTGCTTTGCTTTTTGATCCCAGATTAGATTTTACAATAAAGATGAAGTGGCATATTAAGAATGGCCATAGTGGTCCATCTAGCCCAGTATTCTGTTGTCTGCCAGTGACTGATGCCAGATGCTTCAGAGGGAATGAATAGAACAGGGCAGTTATTGAGTGATCCAGCCCATTGCTCAGTCCCAGTTTTTGGCAGTCAGTGGTTTAGGGACACCTAAAGTAAAAGCTTGTTGAAGTCTTATCCTGCATTAAACATGGTGGTGGTAGGAGGCTAGCTAGGTCATCTGTACTGCACCACTATTGGTATTGATAGTATTCTTCCTTTAATTTTGTATAGCAATTGCAATAGTAGTTAATCAACATATCTTTCACTGTTTTGGAGATGGCTGTGACAGCATGCTTCTTATCTACCAAGTATACACAAGTGACATGTATGGAAGACTGCACAGAGAGGATGACATTTCTTTTACTGTGTACAGACTGCTTGCCAGTCCCCACATGCTGAGTCAGATAGAAATTCTATCATGTCCCTGGAATGTTGAAGTCAGTGAAAACTGAATTCATTGATGCAAAAAAGCTTTCAGCATTTGCAGACAAGCTTTCCCAAAAGATCATTTTTCACAAGTCTTGAATCCTAATCAAAATATCTAATCATGATGTAGACCTTCTTTTCATTGCTGACATCATTACTTTCATCCATCATAACAGTGAAAGGTCCTGATCTTGCAAGGTTCATGGCTTGACTGTGTCAGATGTGCTGACAGAGCTTTGATGATGCACACAGCTTTTTGTTCTTCCACAGGGAAATTTTTTTCCGGTAGCTGAATCTGAGAATGTCTTCTTGTCAAGCTTTGTGAAATGGTCAGCAAAGTGAATAGTAGCAACACTTCAGCATTTGTAACTTTTTCACTGAATGATGTTTGAGCTGGATTTTAAAAAGCATTTCTGTTTCATTGGAAAGGTAATGACGCTACACCACTGACATGTTTTGCAGCGACACTAGATGTTTCTTCAGGTTGTTGATTCCAGAACTGCCAGTGTAGATATTTTGTAGTATCGAACACCACACATTAGACACTTGTGTATGTGTGCGTTTTAACTGAAAATGTTTCACTTCATTCTGGAAGAAATTTTGAGCTATACAGACAACAACTTTTAGGACTTGGGGTCAAATTTTTCCCATGTATTATGAGGTTTTCCCTTTACTTATTATTTGTATTGCAGTAGTGCACAAGAGCCAGTGAAGTTATTGGTCCCATATGCTGAACACTGTACAAGCACACAGCAAGACACACAATTCTTGCCTCACTTAGTTCACAATATATTTTTCAAAGAATGTTTAAAATATATATTATAAATAGGGCTGTCAATCGCAGTTAACTCACACGATTAACTCAAAAAAATTAATCGCACTGTTAAACAATAGAATACCAATTGAAATGTATTATATATTTTTGGATGCTTTTCTACATTTTCATATATATTGATTTCTGTTACAACACAGAATACAAAATATACAGTGTTCCCTTTATATTATTATATTTTATTACAAATATTTGTACTGTAAAAATTATAAACAAAAAATAGTATTTTTCAATTCACCTCATACAAGTACTGTAGTGCAATCTCTCTGTATCATGAAAGTGTAACTTACAAATGTAGATATTTTTGTTACATAACTGCACTCAAAAACAAAACAAAGTAAAACTTTAGAGCTTACAAGTCCACTCAATCTTACTACTTGTTCAGCCAGTCGCTAAGACAAACAAGTTTGTTTACATTTACAAAAGATACCGCTGTCTGCTTCTTATTTACAATGTCACCCGAAAGTGAGAACAGGTGTTCGCATGGCACTTTTGTAGCCGCAAGGTATTTACATGCCAGATAAGGCTAAACATTCGTATGTACCTTTATGCTTCGGCCACCATTCCAGAGGACATGCTTCCATGCTGATGATGCTCATTTAAAAAAAAAAACACGTTAATTAAATTTGTGGCTGAACTTCTTGGGGGAGAATTATGTGTCTCCAGCTCTGCTTTACCCACATTCTGCCATATATTTCACATTATAGCAGTCTTGGATGATGACCCAGCACGTGTTCGTTTTAAGAACACTTTCACAGCAGATTTGACAAAACGCAAAGGTACCAATGTGAGATTTCTAAAAATAGCTACAGCACTTGACCCAAGGTTTAAGAATCTGAAGTGCCGTCCAAAATCTGAGAGGGACGAGGTGTGGAGCATGCTTTCAGAAGTCTTAAAAGAGCAAGACTCACATGTGGAAACTACAGAACCCGAGCCACCAAAAAAGAAAATCAACCTTCTGCTGGTGGCATCTGACACAGATGATGAAAATGAACATGCATCGGTCCACTCTGCTTTGGATTGTTATTGAGTAGAACCCATCATCAACATGGACGCATGTCCTCTGGAATGGTGGTTGAAGCATGGAGGGACATATGATTCTTTAGTGCAGGGGTTGGCAACCTTTCAGAAGTGGTGTGCCGAGTCTTCATTTAGTCACTCTAATTTAAGGTTTTGCGTGCCAGTAATACATTTTAATGTTTTTAGAAGGTCTCTTTCTATAAGTCTATAATATATAACTAAACTATAGTTCTATGTAAAGTAAATAAGGTTTTTAAAATGTTTAAGAAGCTTCATTTAAAATTAAATTAAAATGCCGAGACCCCCGGACCGGTGGCCAGGACCCAGGCAGTGTGAGTGTCTTCAGCACGCGTG